CCCCCGCCCCCGCACCCCCATCCCTGTCCTCCAGAGCAGTGCTGGTGGAGAGCATTCCCGAGGGTCTGGACTTCCCCAATGCCTCCATGAGCAACCCCTCCACCAGCCAGGCTTGGCTGGGCCTGCTCGCCAGTGCCCACAGCAGCCTGGACATCGCCTCCTTCTACTGGACCCTCACCAACAATGACACTCACACCCAGGAGCCCTCTGCCCAGCAGGTACGTGGCAGCCTGGGCCCTGGCAGGCACAGGAGATGGAGGGGCCCCTACAGTCCTAGAGACCAGCATGCCAGTTTCACAGCACTGATTGGGTATAGGTGTCTGGAAGCAGTTGTCTTCCCATAGTCCTCTGGCCCTGGAGTCCCTGAATGTCAGGGTGCGGGTTTGGTTATGGGGGATTAGTTTGGCAGATGTTACTCTCCCACATGCAGCCCTGATCCCATCCCTCAAAGATATGGGAGATGGAGTCATTAAGAGCCCACTCTCAAGCCAACTGGCTACTTTCCAGTTGTGTGACCTTGGGTCAGGCTTCATTTTCTTATCTGTAAAATGGGCTCAATCTCTGACATCTGCCTCTTAGGACTCAAACCAAAAACTAAACCCACAAACACCGAGTCAATTCCAACTCCTAGTGAGCTGTGCAGATAAGAGTTTCCCAAACTGGAAATTTTTGTAGGAGCAAAAAGCCTCATCTTTTTCCTGCAGAGGTTGGTGGGTTTGAACTGCTGACCTTGCTGTTAGCAGTCCAGTGCTTATCCTACAGCACCACCAGGCTCCTGGTGAGAGTGAAATGAGTTCACCTGTACAAATTTTAGCACATTGGCCTTCTTTAAAGGTTTGCTATTGTTACATCCTTGTGGTCTATGTTGTTGTTGTTGTTGTCAGGTGCCATCTAGTCAGAACCAACTCATAGCGACCCCATGAGTCGTCTATATACAAAATTAAAAAACCCAAGTATCAAGATTGAAAAAGGAATAGTTTAAAATAACTCCTCCCTCAAAAATTGCAGATTTTTCCCCCCCTCCCTCTGGTGCTTCTCTTTATGAGCAGTGCTAAAAAAGCACTCTAGTGGCTCTGTGGGTTAAGCATTGGACTGATCACCACAAGGCAGGTGATTCAAACCCACCTTTAGTTGGAATAGACTCCACGGTAGTGAGTTTTAAGCAGGGCCTGAAAATACATCTTCAAAAGTTCTAAACACCATGGGCTCCCCTAACAGAGTCAGGTCAGGTGGCCTGCATGCAAACCCTGCTCTACCACTGAGTTCAAGAGCGGGGAGGGGATTGTGATTAGACCTGTTTCCGGGCTCTGTGGAAATTGAGTGAGTTCAGATGTGATGGGGTTTGAGCCGGCCTGGAACAACACAGTATGTGCCAGGGAATTGTTGGTTCTTACTATAGGAACAAAGGAGCCTGGTAGCGTAGTAGTAACAAGTCGGGCTGCTAACCTCAAGGTCAGCAGTTTGAAACTACCAGTCGTTCTAAGGGAGAAAGATGAAACTGTCTGCTCCCATAAAGATTTGCAGCCTTGGGAACCCTATACAGAGTCACTGTAAGTTGGAACCAACTCGACAGCACTTAACACCACCTATTATCTGTAGGATAAGCACTGGACTACTAATCACAGCATAAAACAAGCATAAACCGCTGATCTTGTGGCTAATAGTCCAGTGCTTATCCTACAGTTAACAGGTGTTGCTGTTGAGTTGGTTCCAACTTACAGGGTTTCTGAGGCTGTAAATCTGAGGTTTTCTGCTTCCACAAGATTTATGGTCTCAGAAACCCTGTACAGCAGGGGTGGGGAACCTTTTTTCTGTCTAGGTCATTTGGATGTTTGTAGCTTCATTCGTAGGCCATACACAACTAGCAACTTAAAAATTAGCCTGCTATTTTTGGTCAAACATTTAATTAACTCACCCCTAATGTGATGGCTAAGGAGCTCTGGTAGCATAGTGGTTACGAATTGAACTGTGAACCACAAGGTCAGCAGTTCAAAACTACCAGCTATTCTGCAGGAGAAAGATGAGGCTTTCTGCTCCCGTCAAGATTTACAGCCTCGGAAACCCTGTACAGGGTTGCTATGAGTCGGAACTTACTCCACGGCACTTAACAACAATGTGATGGCTGGAATTGCAGTTGCCTGGGCAGGGCCAGACCAGATGATTTCAGGCCTATAACAGCCTACAAGGAGCTCTGGTAGCATAGTGGTTGCGAATCAGGCTGTGAACCGCAAGGTCAGCAGTTCGAAACTACCAGCTGTTCCGTGGGAGAAAGATGAGGCGTTTGCTCCCATAAAGATATACAGCTTCGGAAACCCCGTACAGGGTCGCTATGAGTCGGAACCAACTCCACAGCACATAACCACCACCACCACCATATAGCCTACAGGCTGGAAGTTCCCCACCTGTACTATAGGGGATTGTTATGAGTCAGAACCGACTCAATGTCATTTAACAACTTTTATTACTGTCGGCGTCATCATGCCTCATCCCATGCCTTCCTGGACCTCCAGCCTTAGCTTTGCCCTTCACATCCTGAAGGGCATGCCAGATATTGGGAAGCCCCCCACCCCAGGAGCCAATATTTAAAGCAGAAGATACATGGGGGCTTCCAAAAGTTGTTGGGGAAGTGGAATTAAAAAGAGAATGAAATATTTCCATCAATTTTTTGAAGCTCCCTTGTCTAAAAGAGGTTTGGGAACCTGTAAAGCCATTCCTAGGTGAGTGGCTCTGTGTAAAGTCTACTCATCTCTAACTCCACTTCAGAGTAACTCTAGGGGGAGGTGGTGTTGGGCAGGGTGGGGGTGGGCTGATCCCTACTGAAGCTTTCCTCTCCCCACAGGGCGAGGAGGTCTTACGGCAGCTGCAGACCTTGGCACCCCGAGGTGTGAAGGTCCGTGTCACCGTGAGCAAGCCCAATGGGCCCCAGCTACAGGCTGACCTACAGGCTCTGCTCCAGAGTGGTGAGGTGGGGGCAGGGAGGGTGGCCGGGCTTAACAGGCCAAGCTGGCTTCTGATTACTACCATCTACCCTGGTTGGTTGCAGGTGCCCAGGTCCGCATGGTGGACATGCAGAAGCTGACCCATGGTGTCCTGCATACCAAGTTCTGGGTGGTGGACCAGACCCACTTCTACCTTGGCAGTGCCAACATGGACTGGCGCTCCCTGACCCAGGTCTGCTTGCGTTCTGCCTATCAGCCCTTCCAGGCTTCTGCTTGCTCCCCAGCCTCTGACTTTTCCCTCCTTACTACTCAGCTTCATGACCCACAAACATCCCCAAATCCAGGGCCTACTATCCTCCCCTACTCATGGGAGGCTGGGGAATCCCACCAATCCCTAATGGCAGGGGTCAGCCCTTCCACAGGATACTCAAGACCCTGTCGATGCATTTGACCTTTGTCATTTACTCCATGGTACCTGTTCTAAAGCCAGCCCTGTCCTGGGGGATGTGATGCACCTCTAGGAACTCCCAATCCAATAGAGGAGACAGGCCTGTGACCAGACGTGACAGAATGGTCAGGACAAGGATGGGGTTAGGCCAGGAAGGGAGGCTTGGATAAAGGACCAGGAGGGAGAAGGTACAGGTATAGGGGCAGGGCCAGGATGGGGCTCAGGGCTAGGAAGAGGGAGCACAGGTAGAGGGGTTGGGGGCAGGAGAGACATAGAAGGCACTGGAAACACAGAAGCAGCATCTGACCCAATCTGAGGTATCAGAGAGGGGTTTCCCAGAGAAAGCGATGGCTGATTGGCTACCTGGCAGGTCTGAAGGAATTGGCTGAAGACCAGGAAGAGGGAAAGAGGTTATCGGATGATGTGGACGTATGAGATGACATTAATTTTCTTATTCAATAAATATGAAGGGGCTTCAAAAATTTGGTAGGAAAATTGAATGAAAAGATAATGGAATTTTTCCACAAACTTTCTGAAGCCCCTTCATATTTCCCAAGCCGATAACCTCACCAGTTGTGGAGAGATGCTGAAGAGAGAGAGGTGACTGAGATGTCCCCAATCACACACATTCTCAAGGACAGGTCACTTGTCCTTGCCTCCACTTCAGTGTGGACAGGTTTGCCCAGGGGCCATGAGATCCCAAGGACAGCTGCATAGCCTAGCCAGTCCTGGAGGAATTCCCCTTTAGCTATTTGTATACAAATCATTCCCTGCCTTTGGTTATCAGTTTGGTTTTGATTTTGTTTAATAATGTGTCAACATTCTCTTTTTTCCATTCTGTTTGTTATGTTTCCTTTAATCTAGCTTCCCTTCCCCTTCTTGCCTTTTGGTTAAATGTTGACTGTTTGGTCCTGTAGAGAGAAGCAGGTGGAAGTAACAGCATATACCCTTTCAGGAAATCAGGAGCTTTGGAAGATCCAAACAACTTTTATTAAAACTTGACAAGTTCATGCCTATCTCATGACATTTCTAAGAGAGGGATGTCATAGTTCTCAAGCGCTGCTGTAACAAAATATCACAAATAGGTGTCTTAACAAAGAGAAATTTCTTTTTCTCACAGTTTAGGAGGCCAGAAGTCTGGTTTCAGGAAACTGGCAGTAGGAAGGATTTCTCTAGCTCTGCACAAAGGTCCTCATCTCTTCTGAGCTTCTTCTGTTCCTCGGAGAGCTTCATGTGACTTGGCATAGTTCTTCTCCAACCTCAGCTTCTTACCCGTTTTTGTTTGCTATCCAGTATACCTCAGGACACACCATCCATTAGTCCTGCATCATTAACATAACAAAGATAGCCCATACCCAAGTGGGACCTAACCACAGGCATGTTGTTGTATTGTATAGTGATCCTGTAGAGAGATTAGAATTTTGTGACATATTTTTCAGAGACACAATTCAATAAAATTTGTGTTCTTGCCACATGCAAAATATATTCACCCCATTGTTGTTGTTGTTAAGTGCCATCAAGTCGGTTCCGATCCCTAGCGACCCTGTAGAGGGTTTCCAAGGAGTGACTGGTGAGCTTGAACCACCATCCTTGCAGTCCAAACTGACTTTTCAGTCTAGTGCATTAACCCACAGCGCCACACCAGGATTCACCCCATCATACCATCCCCAAAATCTTAAATCCACTCCAAGTCCAAAAAAAAATCTCACCTTCTGAATCATCTAGATTAAATATGGGGAGACTTTAGATGTATTCCATCTGGAACAAAGTTCTTTTTCATCTGCGAATCTAAAAAATCACGTACAAGTTATCTGCTTTCAAGTTAATGGTGGAACAGGCACAAGGTAAATGTTTCCATCACAATTGGAAGAAGTTAGAGGGAAAGAAAGAATAACAGGAATCAAATGCAAGCCCCAATACAACAGAACAAATGACAGTAGCTCTTAAGACTTGACAATAATCATCTGTTCTTTGGAACCATCTAGGAAAGGACCCTGTCCTCTGGACTATGGGTATTGGCCATGCTCTCTGAATTTGGGGTGGAGGCCCCTTAGCCCTCAGCTTCTGCTCCACCTTCCAGGACCATTGCGAATTCTGCTTCCTTGTCTTTTGGTGGCTCCATTCTCTTACTGCATCTCAGTGTTGTCCCCACCCATCAGCTCCAGAAGACCCTGTTCTTCTGTCCCTCAGCCATGGCAGCCTTGCTTTCTCAGCTTTGGGCGGCAACTTCCTCCCCTGGTATACCTTAACAGCAGCCCTACCCTCTGGAAATGAGTTGGAGAAGATTCAGTTCATTGAAACCCGGTTGACTGTGGCCCCACGCTTTGACACCTTCCAACGGTTCTGCTGATCTCCAAGCTGCTCCAGGGATGGTCCTTGTCTTGGAGGATAACAGATATAGCTCCTTTAGCCTGTTTTCTTCCTATAGAATTCCAAGAAGCAGAAAAGCATTGTTAGCTTTTGTTCTTTCTCTGTCTCTTACATTTTAAGCTGTGGTAGTTAGTTGGATCCATCCATCGAAGCCTTAATTCTTTAACAAAGGATCCTCCTGTAAGCCACAGCCTTGGTGAAAATTCTGTCACATGTACCGCATTTTCCAAATCTCTAAGTTCTCTTTTCATTTTGTACAGTTTTTTGTTTTTAAGTTCTATGATACTGTATTTTAGATGAAAGTCTATACAGCACATTCAGTTCCCCTTTAGCAACTTGTCTACAGCTTGTTCCATGCCATTGGCTACAGTTTTTACAATGTGTCAGCTTTCTCACTGTTTCTATTCTGTTTGATCTGCTTCTGATGGTCTAGTTTCCTTGTCTCATGCTTGCTTTTGAGTAAATGTTGATCGCTTGATTTCATACAGCTCATTGATTAAGGGGGTATGTTACTCATGGGTGCTTCTGTTTATTTTATAAGCCAATTTATTATTTGATTGAAATGTGACCTACAGAAATGGCTTCAGTTCCAAGTTCAGAGGATATTTTAGGATCATAGTCTCAGGGGTTTCTCTAGTCTATATCAGTCGAGTAGGTCTGGAACTTTTTAAGGGTACACATCTCTTTCCTCTTGCACTTTACTATAAGCAGCCAGGAAAATCCACATGACCCCTTTAACATCTTGCTTAGAAGTTTCCTCAGCTAGATAACCAGGTTCATCACTTACAAGCTCTACCTTCTACCAAACATCTGAACGCAATTCAGACAAGTTCTTTCTCACTGCATAAAAAGCATTCCCCTTCCTCCATTGTAATCACATGTTTGTCATTTTCTTTTCAAGCCCCACCAGAAACATATAATGTTCTGTTGTTGGTACCATAAGTATTCTTTAAGATGAGACTTTCTAGCTCTCCTCATTTCCTTCAGAGCCCTCACCAGATATGCCTGTTGTTCTCAAGTGCCGTTAAGTCTGTTCCAACTCATAGCCGCCCTGTATAGGGTTTCCAAGGCTTTAAGTCTTCAGGAGGAAAAAACTTTCTCTCTCTCTCTCTGTTGGCTCACTGTCTCTTTGAGGTTCTCCTCTGGGGCGATCTTCATGTGGTTTGGTGTCTCTCTTCTCCCACCTCAACTTCCTTCTCTTGTTTATTTAATTCCCTTTGTATCTCAAATGAGATTAATCAAGACACACCATACATTAATTCTGCTTCATGAACATAACAAAGACAATCTTTTTGCAAGCGAGGTTACAACCACAGGCATAGGGGTTGGGAGTTACTACATATTTTGTGAGTGACAATTCAATCTATAATAAGGGCAAAACTGAGGACCAGAGAGTGAGGGAGACTGAGGAGTCAGGGAGGGGAGGGGAGATAAAGGGGCAGAGAAAGGGAGGAGACCAGGGGGCAGAAGGGGTGGGAACCAAGGCTACCATATTGGGCAGTATGGATGGAGAACATATCCAGCGCTGCAGAAAGTTCTGTTGGGTGCCGGCCAATGCTCATGATGGATATGAAACTAGTAGTTTTAGCTGCCGACATTTTCATGGTTGGAGTGGGCATCCTGGGTAACCTCCAGAGCGCAGGACCTTGTTCTGCATGGAAGGTTGATAGGATAACAACAACAGAAACAGATAGATGAGGGAGTCATGGACGCAATTACAGAGGTAGGACTGGCTGAGGAAACTGGGGGTGTTCCTGCTCCCGGACTCAGCTGTGTCTTCAACAGGTCAAGGAGCTGGGAGTGGTCATGTACAACTGCAGCTGCCTGGCTCGAGACCTGACCAAGATCTTCGAGGCTTACTGGTTCCTGGGCCAGGCAGGCAGCTCCATCCCATCCCCCTGGCCCCGATCCTACGACACACGCTACAATCAAGAGACGCCAATGGAGATCTGCCTCAACGGAACTCCCGCCCTGGCCTACTTGGCAGTGAGTCTGGGGAGAGGGATACACACACCTAGCCACACCCCATCACTTATGACCTCTTCCGGCCCTGCCCAGTGACTGGCATGGGGGCGTGTGCCTTGATCACTGGCCATAATCCCCTATGGTTAGGAGTCTGGGCAATGCCTCAACCTTGTTAGGTCTTGGATTCCACTAGAAAATGGGTATATCCTTGATATTCACAACCTCTTAGAGAGAGCTGGGTTCATGTTCATTGAATCATAATACTAAAACCAAACTCGCTTCCATCGTGTCAATTCTGACTCAGTGATCCAGTATGGACTTCTGAGGCTATAAATTTTGATGGGAGACAGCCTCATCGTTCTCCCATGGAGCAACTGGTCGGTTTGGACTGTGAATTTTATGATTAATAGTACAGTGCTTTTCCTACCACACCAACGGGGCGTCTTTGTCACATTGTTAAATGCCATCAAGTGAATTCTAACTCATAGCGACCCTGTATAGGATTTCTGAGGAGCAGCTGGTGGGTTTGAACTGCTGACCTTGAGGTTAACCTGCAGCGCCACACCATGTAGGGATCTTTAAATTTAATTTAAATGATACACAATTAAAAATCCAGTTCGTTGTATGCACTCCTTAGAATAATCAACCAGTTGAGACCAAAACAGCAGCATTTACCCAAGGACAAAGTTCAAAAGGGTTAGGAAAGGAGGAGAAATGAAAACAGGAAACACAGGCAGGGAAAATATCAGTTCCTCAACTGCACTAGATATAATTCATGCATTTCATAATCACTTGTTGTTCTAAGTTCAGTGGAGTTGGTCCTGACTCATAGCAACCCTGTTTCTGAGGAGCAACTGGTAGGTTTGAACTGCCGACCTTGCGGTTACAAATCCAGTTCATTAACCCACAGCGCCACACGAGTCCTCCCACTTATAACTGGAGGCTGCCGTATTGAATAAGCGCTGGATCACAAGGTCGGTTTGAAATGTAAGGTCAGCAGTTCAAACTCTGCAGCCACTCCTCGGAAACCCTATAGAGAGTTGCTATGAGCCAAAAAAGGAGCTCTGGTAGTATAGTGGTTACAAGTCAGGCTGCGAACCTCAAGGTCAGCAGTTTGAAATTACCAGCTTCTCCGCAGGAGTAAGATGAGGCTTTCTAGTCCTGTAAAGATTTACAGCCTTGGAAACCCTATACAGGGTCACTATGAGTCTGAACTGACTCCACAGTCAAAACCTACTCAACGGCACTTAAGAACAACATATTGGAAATCGCAGAGTGAACATTTCCATCCCTGCAGAAAGTTCTATTGGATAATGCAGGTTGTTGCTCATGGCAGATACTGAACACTCTAGACACATGTTTAACTGCAGATATTTTCATTGTTGGGGTGGGCAATCTGGGTACCATTCGACCTTCACCCTGCCATGGAAAGTTGATGTTAGCTGCTGGTAAACACCATTGAGTCGCTTCTGACTCAGTGTTTCTGAGGCTGTAAATCTTTGCGGGAGCAGAAAGCCTCATCTTTCTCCCACGAAGCAGTTGGTAGTCTTGAACCACCGACTTCGTGGTTCGCTAAAAGTTTAGTGCTTACCCTACAGAACTACTGCTCTCCCTGGAGAGTTGATAGAATAGTTAAAAGCCCCCGTTTCAGCTGTGAGTAACATGGCACAAGTGACTTCATAGAGAACCCCATTAAGTATTAGTTACCTTACCTCCCCACCCAACTTCTGAACAATAACAGTAAGTAAAACAACAACAACAAACAGCCTGTTGCCCTGGAGTTGACTCCAATTCATGGTGATCCCAGGGGTGTCAAAGTAGAACTGTGTTCATACAGTTTTCAATGGCTGGTTGTTCAGCCACAGATCACCAGGACTTTCTTCTTAAGCACCTCTGTCTGGCTTCGAACTTCCAACCTTTTGGTTAGCCACCAACTGTCTTCACCACAAACAGAACTTACTAAAGTATTTTACCATCACATGAAAATACCTGCCATGGCCAGGACACTCCTGTCTGCTTTTTCTATCTTTGCAATAATAATTGTTGAAATAATGATGGTATCATTAATAATTACAATAGTCTCTGGCACTTAGCAAGTACTTAGGTGTACTGTGATGGGTGATCTGTTCATTTAACGCTCGCCACAACCCTAGAAGGTGGTGGTGGTGGTTATGTGCCGTGGAGTCGGAACCGACTCACAGCGACCCTGTACAGGGTTTCCGAGGCTGTAAATCTTTATGGGAGCAGAAAGCCTCATCTTCCTCCCACGGAGCAGCTGGTAGTTTAGAACTTCTGACCTTGAGGTTCACAGCCTGACTGGTAACGACTGGTAACCACTATACTATCAGAGATACTGGCTTTTTTTTTAAGTACTTGGTTGGTTGGTTATGTGCCGTGGAGTCGGTGCCGACTCACAGCGACCCTGTACAGGGTTTCTGAGGCTGTAAATCTTTACGGGAGCAGAAAGCCTCATCTTTCTCCCACGGAGCGGCGGGTAGTTTCGAACCGCTGACCTTAAATGAAGGTTTGCAGCAGAAGGTAGGTGTTATTATTTCTATTTATACATAATGAAATTGAGGAACAGAGGAACACAGTAACGACCTGTCCAAAACGCTCTAGTAAGAAATGGTAGAGATGGGGACAGCAACTGAGCCACACTTGCCTACTTAATTTCTTCGTAACCTCTCCTTCTCCCATGCACCCCAAAATCACACTGTCTTCCTGGGGCAGGAATGAGGGAGGAAGCACAAAGAAGTCAGGCCAGAAACTATGGGATGCTGTCCTAAGAGTAGAAATGTGAGGAATTGGAGTATTTCAATTAATTTATTGTTTCACAACTTAATGGCTTAAAACAAACTTTATTTGCTCTCAGTTTCGTTTGTCAACAGTTTGGGCTAGGTTCAGCTGGTTGGTTCTTCTACTCTTCTCTTCTTCATTGTTGAATTTATAAGGAGCCCTGGAGGTATAGTGGTATTAGGGTAGCCACTCCTCAGGAAAACACAGGCTGTCTGCTGCAGTAAAAATTGCAAGTCTCAGAAACCTATAGCAGCAGCTCTACTCTGTCCTAGGATGTTCCTAAGTGCTGTTGAGTCGGTTCTGACTCATAGTGCCCCTGTGTAGGGTTTCCGAGGCTGCAAGTCTGCCCCTGTGGTGTCGCTGCAAATCAGAATTGCCATAATGGCAGTGGGTTCGTTTTGGTCTTGATGGTTATTACTGTTGTTCTGAAGTTGCATGAGGAAGATGATTCATTTGGGATTGGCCAATCTGGCACACTCACTCACGTCTGGTATTGGTGTGCTGCTTGTGGGCTCAGCCAAACACCTCCTCCAACAGGCTAGCCCTGATTGCTTCATGGGATAGCCATGTATCAAGAAGGCCTACTCCAATGCACAAGTGTTTTTCAAGCCTTTGTTTGTATCACATTTGCTGATGGCCTATTGGCTAGAGTAAATGCCATGGCCAGCCCAGCACAAAGGTGTGGACACAGGGAAGCATGATTCATTGGGGAACTTTACTATAACAATCTCAAGATTTAGGACCACTTCCTCGTCCGAGTTTCAGTTTCCTTATCTGAAAAGTGGAGTTGGTAGCAATATCCACTACCCCACAGGCTGTGGTGAGGCTGGCAGGATCTGGGGAAAGGGCTCGACTGACAGGGATCTATAGTGACGAAAGCAAAGGCACTAGAGTCACCTGGAAGGCTGTCAGATCCAGCTTCTGAGTCACGACACCCATGTGCAAAATGAAGCCCAAGAATTTGCATTTCTAACAAGTTCTCTGGTAAGGTTGATGCTGCTGGATCAGGGGCCATATACTGAGAACTACCTGGTTCCAACAGAGGCACGGACACCAGACTGCCTGGGTTCAAATCCTGGCTGCATTTACCAGCTTGTGACCTTAGACAAGTCACTTCCCTTCTCTTGAGCTCCTCTCTGGAGCCTGAGGGCCCCAAGCTCTCTAGGACCCAGCTCGCTGTCCACACACAGGGTCCACTCTGACAGTGTCCTTGGCAGAGTGCATGTGTTGACCATCTCCTCGCCCCCCAGAGTGCACCCCCACCGCTGTGTCCGAGTGGTCGCACCCCAGACCTGAAGGCTCTGCTCAATGTGGTGGATAGCGCCCGGAGTTTCATCTACATTGCTGTCATGAACTACCTACCCACCATGGAGTTCTCCCACCCGCGCAGGTGCTCCTGGGCTTGTGGACAGGGCTGACAGGACAGGAAGGGGCCAGGGCGAGTGGGAGGAGACAGGAACTGGAGTTAGGAAGCTCAGAAAGCAGGAAGGGAAGGGGACAGGTGGAGGGAAAGCCACAGGAAGACGTAGAGGTGGTTGGGCGCTGTAGACAGAAAAAAGGGTCAGGGTGCTGGGAGATAGGGATGGTATTAAGGGGCCGAAGGAAACCATTGGAATTGGGGGCAGGAGAGGCAGAACTGGAGGTCTGAGGTGGGATTTTGACAGGTAGCGAGCAAGGAATGCAGGCGAGAAATAGGATGTGGGGCTTAGTGTGTGGGGAACAGGGGCAGGCTGTGAATATTTGAGTTTGGGGCAGCAGGATTGGTTGGGGGTTTCTCATCAGGAATATGAAAGAAGGAAGGGCTGATGGCCAGAGAGGTAGGGAATGATGGGATTTGGGGCACTGGAAAATGTCTGAGGGGAGCAGACAAGATGATGGAAAGATTATGATGTGGTAGGGGAGGTGAGCAGAAGTGGGGTATATGAAATGTGGCATACAAGAAGGCAGACACTGGGAGCTAGAGATGATGGACTTTAGGGTTCTGGGAAGCTGAGCAGGGCCCAGGCTCGGTCCCGAGGGTAAGGTAAGGCCCGGTATACCCTCTGCCCCAGGTTCTGGCCCGCTATTGATGACGGACTGAGGCGGGCTGCCTACGAGCGGGGCGTCAAGGTGCGCCTGCTGGTCAGCTGCTGGGGCCACTCGGAGCCCTCCATGCGGGCCTTCCTGCTCTCCCTGGCTGCCCTGCGTGACAATCACACCCACTCTGACATCCAGGTGGTAAGCACCCACCCCAGACCCACCCGTCAGCGCCCTGTGCTAGGTGGATGATGGGGTTGGGGGTGGGTGGGTCAGGATCCAGACAGAAGAGCCCCAAGGAAGCACCTACCCTAGCCTGAAATTTTCTTGAGAAGGTGTGAGGGGTGTGAGGGAACAGAGTGGTTCATGAGGTAGCTCCGTCCTCCCTTTCAGCGAGGGTTCAAAGAGGACCTCGACTGCCTTCTGCCCCGAGGATTCTGTGGAAATAGCTGAGTCCAAGACCTCATCCCACACCCCACCCGACCCTGGGGCTTCTCTCCACCCAGCCAGCCCCTCAGATTCCTTTCCATTCTCCCCCTGCCCTCAGAAACTCTTTGTGGTCCCCGCGGACGAGGCCCAGGCCCGGATCCCGTACGCTCGTGTCAACCACAACAAGTACATGGTGACTGAACGTGGCACCTACATCGGTGAGTACTCGAGGACTGCTGATGGGCGGAGGGGGACAGAGAGCGCTCTGGACACCAGGCCCAGCTGCCCCTACAGGGCCCTGACTGTTACTCCGCCTACCTCATAGGAACCTCCAACTGGTCTGGCAGCTACTTCACGGAGACAGCGGGCACCTCACTTCTGGTGACCCAGAATGGGCACGGGGGCCTGCAGAGCCAGCTGGAGGCCGTGTTTGTGCGAGACTGGAACTCTCCTTACAGCCATGAACTTGATACTGCAGCCGACAGTGTGGGCAATGCCTGCCGCCTGCTCTGAGGCCCCAGGTCTCTGCGGACCCAAGCGTCCTGGGTCCAGGCCCCTGTCCCCATGCTCCTGCTTCTGTCTGCCCCATTGTGGCCCCTGCAGGCTCTCCCCTGCTCTCCCACCTCTACCTCCGCCCCTACTGGCCAATGCTGGGGCCCTGGGACCCAGAAGAACTGGGGGAGGGATCAGCCCCCAAACAAGTGGAGATGCATGCTGGGCCCAGCACCCTGGCCCACCCCCTTTCCAGAGCAAGGGGGGCCCAAGGTTATAATATTAATTAAATAACTTGTCTGTACAACCTGGGCCTGGCTGACTGGTGGTGAGAGGAGTTGTTGGGGCCTTGGGTTGGGGCAGCTTAGAATGCACTGCACCCCCAGGTGTGAGTGGTATGTGCCATCGCTCAGCCTGTGGAGCCAGTGTGTGTTGAGTCTTCAACATGTGACCCATGGTGGGTTCATGTGTGCTGAGCTTCAGTCCTGCATTCCTGAGGGTGGGCTCATGTGCCACGCCTTAGTCCTGAGGGCATGCTCATTAGTACTGAGCCTCATTCCTGAGGGTAGGATTGTGTGTACTGAGCCTCATTCCTAAGGGTAGGATTGTGTGTACTGAGAGCCTCATTCCTGAGGATGGGCTCCTGTGTACCACGCCTTAGTCCTGAGGGCTGGCATGTACTGAATGATCAGCATGTGACCTGGTACATGCTGAATGCTTAGTGTGTGACCCATATGACCCTCACCACACGAGGCATGTGAGCACATGATGTAGCTGGTGTGGACTGAGCTCTCATCAAGGTTAGCATGTGCTGCGCATTCAGTAGGTTCCTAGACATCTCCCGAGGGTGGGTTAACGTGTGTTGAACACTTGCGTGTGTCCCAAGCATGGATGAGCACATGCCAAACCCATAGCCTAACTGATGAAGAGCCCTTAGCATCAGGCAAGCTTGGATGAGCACATGAACACTGGAACGTCCTGGCAGTGGAAACCCCTTGGACTAGACACTTAGTATATTTAGGGAATGGGTTAGTTTTGGACCAAACATAACCTATGTCTTCAATGCCATTGATTATGGTCTAGCCGCTACTGGCCACCTGAGACCCCCCATCAGGGCCAGGGCAGGCCTGGGCTGTGGGGACAGCATGAGGCAGGACTGCTGAACAGGTCTTTATTGAAACATGCGAGGCAGCAGGGTAGAGCCTGCTCGGGACCAGCAGGGGGCAGCCTCCTCCCTACATCCCTCTGGTGGAGACGGCCACAGGCCTGAACCCGGAGGCCCTCTAGCGTTCAGGGAATATGAAGAATCAGGAGTTTCTAGATAACTATCTTTCTGGAAGAATAATTTGTGGGTTCTAGGGGTGGCTCTGAAGAGCAGTTTGGGTCCAGAGGGGAATGCCACCCCATGGATGGGCAGGGGTGGGGTCATCCTCAGTGGTGCCCACCAACGTGCTGCAGAAAGCTGGTGGCCCGGGGGTGACGGGGAGGTAGGCCCTGAGCCCTGGGCCCCCGGATACCCTCCAGGCTCCACTCTGGGTCATTCAGCCATTCCCCAGAACAACTGCTGGGGTCGAAGAGCTCAGGGACAGGCCTCTGGGGAGGAGAAGAAAGGTGTCAGCCAGGAAGCCCTGAGCCCCCAGAAGCACTCCCACTCCCTCCTGCCCCGGCTCACCCTGGGCCACATCCTAAAGGTGATTTCATGTTATGAATCCTCATCACCTACGTGTGAACTGGTATGTGCTAAGTAAGGCCTTAATGTGTTCCAAGGGTGGGTTCATGCATGTAGAGCCTCATTCCTGAGGGTGGGTTAGTGTGAACTAAGTCTTACCACATCCTGAGAGTAGGTTAGTAGCATATACAGAGACTTGTAACCTCTTGAATAGGGATTAGTGTGTGTTAACCTACAGCCGACAGCAGGTCCCAGAAACCCCTGGTCCCAGAGCCCCCTGACTGCCATCTGGCATACCTCAGCATCCATGACCAGGTCCTTGATGTCGGGCCCATCCCCGTCTCGATGTGGAATGGTGGGAGGCTCGGTGGACACCCCGTGGTGCTCTCCCTCCTCCCAGCCACTGCCGCAACAGGGACCTTCATCCTCCGGGGAGGCCTTGCTCAATCGGATGAGGTTACTGAAGTTGGAGTCCGACTTGGAGCCTGCAGGGAGCTTGCGGGCCTTGTGACATCCTGCAAGGCGGCTGCCATAAAAGGCCAGAATGGGCTCAGGACCTGAGTCGGCCACCCGGCGTCCAGGGCCAGCTGCCTTGAGTGGGGCCAGCACATCAGGGACCACATCCACATGGGTGTCACCCCACAGCCCTCGCCCTGCCTCCTGTAGACTCAGGTCATCCAGTTGGTCAATGGCCCTTTGCACGCCCGGTGCCTTCTCCTCTCGGAAGAAAGGTCCGCTGCCCGCAGTGCTGCCCAGGCCCAGGGCTGCCTCCTCCTCCTCGGCCAGCGGGTAGTAGGGTGAGCCTTCATCCACGGTGGCCATAGTAGGTGCCACCGGCTTGCCCTCCACCTGCAGGGAGAGACGGTAACCGCGCAGTGAGAGCTGGTAGTAGCGCGTGGACTCGTGAGCACTGCACAGCTGCTGCATGGTGACGAACGGGTGGCGCAGCGCTGCACTGGGGCTGATCCGCTCATGAGACTCCCATGTCAGCATGCGCTTGATGAGCTCCACCATGCTCTTGAGGTCAGAGTGTTCAGCAAGCACCTCCCGATCTGCGAAAGTCAGCCGGCTGACTGGACCACCACCATTCACTGTTTCAATCTGGTCCAGTGACTTCAGCATGTACTTGCGGCGTTCCAGCGGGCGCACCTAATAGGGCACAAGGGACATAGGGTTGATGCTGCATCCACTCCCACGGGGGACCTACACGTAGCCCCTGCCCACCATACTGGCCCCCAGGGTGGCTCAGAGCTCTCTTGCTGTCACAGGGCCCACATACATGCCTTGGCTTTTGATTCTCCCTGTAGTCTAGACCAAGGAGCCACGGTGGCACATTGGGCTGCTGACTTCAAGGTCAGCAGTTCGAAACCACCGGCAGCTGCATGGGAGAACCATGAAGATCTGCTCCCATAAAGATTTCCATCCAGCCTAGGAAACCCTAGGGAGCCGCTCTGGTCTGTTCTACAAGGGTTGCTATGAGTTGAAATCAACTCAATGGCAGTGGATTTAGTGTGGTGGTCTAATCCAGATCCCTCCCTTGTTGTAACAAAGTCCATACACCTGGGGCCTGACTTCGAGTTCTGCCCAGGATCTAACTTGGAGCTCTCTCTGGGAGGGCCACACCTCTCTAGAGCTCTCCTGCTGCTGGAGGAAGTGGGAGCACAATAGGAGACAATCCTCCTATTGTCTAAACCACAGCTTTCACTGACCCAAGTTCCATACCTCACCCCAGACCAGTCTGCCCCAGAGCCATGGCTGAGCCGCTACCACCAGGAGTTAGCAAAGGGCTGCCTGTAACTGCTAGTCCTCTCTGGAGTCAAATCCAAATTCCATCTTGCTGCAGCTTCACTCCTGATCCCAGACCTCCCAGGCCTGGGCCTGAGGTTGAACCCAGACCCTTGTGCTACAGTAGAGTGTATGATAATCCCCAGCCACGGCCACGGAGCTATCAGGGCCGCTGCAGTAAACCATGGGTTCCACCTTTGGTCTTACCCAGATCTCTCCTGCTGTGACTGTTCCCATCATCGACCCCAAACTTCTAGTCCACCCTGCTGTCTAACTCAGACTCCTCTTATTATACAGGTTTGGTAACCACAGCCACGAAAGCAACAGAGAGGCTACTCTAATCTTCAAGTCCCACCTGGAGTCTCATCCAAATCCCTCCTGCTGTTGCAACTCTCACACTTAAACTCTAGATCTCACGTTTTCTCTGGAGTATATAACCCAGGTCCCTCTTACTACGGCAGCTGTGGCACTGTGGGTTACTGCACTGGGCTGCAAGATTCATTTGTACCGTACAGTTGGTGGTTCAAGCTCACCAGCCACTCCTCAGAAACCCTATATGGGGTCGCTATGAGTCGGAACTGACTTGACAGCATTTCACAACAACAACATAACCCACGCCCCTCTTGGCTACAGCAGCCCTTATAATCCCTCTGCATCTGACCTCCACACTTAGAGTCCCTGAATCCCACTCAGATCTCTCTTGATGCAGGAGCCCCCAGAACTAATCCACAAACTTCCAGTACTACCTTTGGTCTCACCCAGGTCTCTCTTGCTGTGACAACTCCCACAGCTGACTGCCAAGTGTCCAGTCTTCCCTGAGGCCAATCTAGGGTTTTCTGTCCTCACCCCACCTGTCCCCCTACCTTGGTCTCGGCCAGATAGTCAGCTGAGGTCTTGAGCTGCCAAGGGTTGGTGGCATCAGGGTGAGGGTTGCGCTTGAAGAAGTGGTGGGCCTTGCGGGCGGCATGCAGCAGGTGGGGCTTGGGTAGGCCCTGAGTCTCACAGATGTAGCGCACCTGGTCGTACTCGTTGTTGCCGGGGTAGAGGGGCCAGCCAAGGTGCAGCTCAGCCATGACGCATCCCAGGGACCACACGTCCACCTTCTCACAGAAGGGGAGCCCCAGCAGGATCTCGGGGGCCCGGTAGAAGCGTGACTGGATGTACGGTTCCTTCACATAGCGCACCTCACTGAAGATGCTGGCTGAGCCAAAGTCGATTACCTATGGGCAGGTAGACAGGTTGGCTGAACAGGATTGGCATGAGCAGGGCATTCGGCTCCTCCCAGCTTTTCTTCCTAGTGTCTTTCTGCATCTGTCACCTGCCTTTGTCTGTTCCTGTGTCTTTGAGTCTCTGTCTCTTTTGGCCTTTGTCTCAGAACACAATCTTCCATGCTCAGAACCTTCCTGTGGTTTTTACTACCTCCTGGGATTCAAGCCAAAGACCTCACCATAGTCCACAAGGCCCCAACCATTCTGTCCTACCCCCTCTCTGCCCTCATCTCCTTCCACTTTCTTTGACAAGCAAGACCCATTTCCACCTCAGGGCCTTTGCACTAGCTGTTCAGTTCCCTCTACATGGAACGCTCTTCCCCCAGATACCCTCATGGCTCCCTCCCTCCTTCCCTCCTTCACGTCTTTCATCAAATATCACCTGTCAGTGAGGTCACCTCTTAGCATCCTCAAAAACTGCACCCCTCCCCCCAACATTTCCTAGCCCCCTTTCTGTTCCTGTTTTTCTCCTTAGCAGTCAACAAAGTTTCATAAACTATATGAGGGAGCTTTAAAAAGCTCATGAAAAAATGAAATTTTTCCACAAACTTTTTGGAGAATGAGTAAGGACGACCATAGAAGAATCTATGCATTTGAGTTACGGTGTTGGAGGAGAATAGGAAAAGCACCATGAACTGTCAGAAGAACAAACAAATCTGTGTTGGAAGAAGTACAGCCAGAATGTTCCTTAAAAGCCAGGATGGGCAGATTTTGTCTCTCCTATTTTGAATATATTATCAGGAGGGACCAGTCCCTAGAGAAGGACATCATGCTTGGCAAAGTGGAGGGTCAGCAAAAAAGAGGAAGGTCCCCAACGGAGATGTATTGGCAGCAATGATTGTGAGATTGGCACAGGACCAGGCATAAAGTTGTACGTAAGGTTGCTCTGAGTTGGTACCAACACGATGGCACCTAACAGTAACATTGTACTATATGGAATCCTGGTGTGGCACTGTAGGACAAGCACTGGCCTGCTAACTGGTTCAAATTCACCAGTTGCTCCTTGGAAACCCACCCCATACAGGGTCTCTATGAGTTAGAACTGACCTACAGTACTTTGTACTAAATAGTTCCGTTATTTTTTTTTAATCAAGTTCATCGTCCCTCCCAAGTAAGAGGTTAGCTCCACCAGAACAGAGATTTTTCACTGCTGTACCCATACTAGGAACCGTGGTGGCATTGTGATAAAAGCCCTTGGTTACAAACGAAAGGTCAGCAGTTCAAATTCACCAACAGCTCTTCAGAAGAGATGCAGTAGGCTGCTTCTGGAGAGATTTACAGTCTTGAAAAACCTTTTGGAGCAATTCTCCGAAATATGCCCACAGCCATCGAGTCCGATCCAATTCATAGCAACCCTCAAGGGCAGAGTAGAACGGCTCCCTAGGATTTCTAAGTCGATAAATCTTTACGAGATTAGACAGCTTCATAGTTCTCCTGGGGAGCACCTGGTGGGTTCGAACTGAAGTCCTTGTGGTTAACAGCTCAACACATAGCCCACTATGCCAGTGGGACGCCTGATATAACAATGTTGTGGTTGTTTAAGTGCCTCGGAGTCAGTTTTGACTCACAGCAACCCTTTATAGGGTTTCCAAGGCTTTAACTTTCTCCCAAGGAGAAGCAAGTGGGCTCAAACTACTGACCTGTGGTTCGCAGTCTAGTGCTTATCCTATGGAGCCACCATACTCCCCAATAATGTCCCTAATACCTAGAACAGTGCCTAGCACACAGCAGAGGTGCAGTAAAGAGTGAATGAAGGAGTGAGTGGGGTTTATAACCCTCTCATTCTAGTACTGTGTCTTGTTTGTATCCCTTGCAACTGTCTCTTCATCACTTATTGATGTCTTTCATCTCTCAGCTTCTCAATATCCATCCACTAGGAAGGTTCTGTGGCCCAGAAACCCAGGTCCTCTCCCGTCTTCATCATCCAGCACTAGGTTCACCTACCTCAGGCCCTTGGCACATAGCTAAAAGCATCGGATCACTAAGAGCCTTCCTCTCTGCCATGCTTCTGGGCGGAGCTGTTTCCCATTCTCACTTTGAATCTCTGTGTCTGCCTCAATTTTCCACTCAGGCTGCTTTCATCCAGCCATCCCCTCAACATCCAACTGCAAAAGGCAGTATCACAAAATAGTTATTAATCTAGACCCTGAAGCCAGACTGCTGAGTCTTGAGTCCCAGAGGGATCGAATGACATGGGTACTTAGTCAATGTCCATTTCTTTATTCATTCACACACAGGAAGGAGACGAGCACTGGCCAACTGCTGTGGATCTGCCCTGGTGTGTTTGTGGGAGTCTCTCTTCCCGTCTCTCCAACCATCTGCCCTTTTCTGTCTCTGTGGCTCTCTGTGGTTCTAATATTCAATTCCCACTGACTCCATCTGTCTGTGCCCACGCTGGGAGGTACTGAGGGCATGGCAGTGCCTAAGACAGCTCCAGGCCTGCCCTCAGGTCAATCACCAGAGAGACCCACAAGCAGAGCCAGGGGTTAGGCCAGGCTGAGAGAGGCATAAAGTCAGGCCTGGAAAGAGGTGGCCAGGGGCTGGTGGCCAGCGGAATCAGTAAATGCTGATGAACACCGCTGACTATGATGACTACTGTCCTTGCCTTCCTGCCAGTTGATCCAACAACAGGCTCTCAGTCCCTCTCTTCCTCGCTCACGCTTCACATATGAAACTTCAGCAAATCCTGCTGTCTCTAGCTCCAGGATCTACCCAGAATCCACTGTCTCCTTCTCCCGTTCCTCCCCCTCTGGTCCCATCCATCCTCATCTCCTGCCTGGACTAGTTCAATCACTTCCTCACTGGTCCTCTGTCATGACCTGCTTCCTCAATCTCTATCCCCTTCATAACTGGAGGGACCCTGGAAACAATCACCTTGCCTGTTCTGTGCAACTTAATCTTGCAGCTCCATTTCCCACAGTCCTCCCAGGATCCACAGGTCATGCGCCTCCCCACCTAGCTTTCCTCTCTCTTCCCCTTGGGTCATTCTGCTTCAGACACACCGGCTTTCTCACTGTCTCAAACGCAGACAGACGCTTTCTCAGGGCCTCGGCAATGGTTGTTCCTGCTGTCTACATGCTGTTCCCTCAGATGTTTGCATGATTCCCTCCCCCTCCAGGACTCCCCTCAAAGGTCACCCATCACCACCCCTCCCCAGACCCTCCTGGTTCCCTGCTTTGTCTTTTCTCTTTCTCATTCGCATGCCAAAGTTTATTCATTTCTCTTGTGGACTCTATCTCCCTCACTAGAATGTCAGCCCCACAAGGTGAGACCAAACCAGAGTTATTGGGATAAGGGATTGAGGAGACCTCAAGGCCGGGACAGGGAGTAGTGGTAATATTAGGTTGGGGATGGGGAGGTGGGAAAGATCTGGGGGCTAGGGTGCAGGAGAGGCACAGTTGACAGAGTTGGCCAGTCCTAAGAGAAGGGGACTCCTGGTGCGGCACTGTAGGATCAGCACTGGATTGTGAACCATAAGGTCAGCAATTCAAACCCACCAGCTGCTCCTTGGAAACGCTATACAGGGTTGCTATGAGTAGGAACTGACTCAACAGCACTTCACAACAACAACAAGAGGGGGGAGTAAGAGAGACCCCACTGTCAGTAGATGATGCCAAGGGCCAAGGACTCTGGGAAAAGAGGGACTCGACCACCCTGGGCAGCCCCGCTCACCTTGACCCTGAAGGGACAGCGGGTCTGGTCCACCAGCATGATGTTCTCTGGCTTGAGATCGGCGTGGATGATGGCTAGTTCCTTAAGCCGGGCCAGGGCTCGGAGCACCTGCAGAGTGACCGTTCGGATGTGGCGGGCAGGGAGGGGCGCAAAGTTGTTCTCTTTCTGAAACTCAAAGAGGTTTTGCTCCAGCAGCTCGAAGACCAGGTAGAACTTCAGGGCGTCATGGAAGAACTCAAGGAAGCGGATGACATGGGCCTCCTCAGGATCCAGGCCCCGCATGCAGCGTAGTAACTTCAGCTCATTCTTGATGATTCGGTTGCGGTAGGCATCGTTCTTGAGAATCTTGATGGCTACCATCTCGCCGGTGCTCCGCCGCCAGCCCTTGGCCACCTCTCCAAAGGTGCCCTTGCCCAGCACCTCGATGATGTCGTAACAGTCTGTCTCTGACTGGATGGTGGCCATGGTGCCTCTGCTGCTGGCCCCTGCCCTGCCACCCCAAACCTCCAACAGGCTCTGCCGCCGAGGCCGAGGCCTCCCACCCTGAAGCTGGCCCCGCGGTCCCCCCAGTGGGGGAAAGAGAACTGCACTCGTGCCTTCTCCTGTGAGGTTCACTCCCACCTTCCTAGCGCCCCTCGACCCCCTTGACCACACTGTGAGTCTGCCAGGGGCTGCACCCCTCCCCCGAAAAGCCCACCTGGCTTGGGATGAGGGGGCCCAGGCTCCCCTTAATGGGTTCCAGTGTTGCTGAGTGGCTCTGGTTCTGTTGTTGGAGACCTGACTGGAATGGGGGATGGGGTGCCAAGTCAGGCTCCCCTCCCCCACCCAGTGGTGAAACCAAGTGAAGGGTCCCCTGAAAGAGGTGGCCAACCATGGACCTTGGGCCTACAGGTACGGGATGGACCTACAGGCAGAAGTGAGAAAAGGCAAGGCTTGCTGCCTCAGGGGATATCATGGACAGAGGCTTATAAGTATTTGTGTGTGTAAATCTATGTTCATAAAATACCTGCCACAGCTGTAGGTAACCATGAAAGAGGTTTGACTGGGCAGGCCAGGCTGTACACGGTCTTGAGTGCCAGGCTAAGGAGTTTGGTCTGTATTCTGAGGGCACTGGGGAACCATAGAAGGGCTCTGAGCCAGGAAGGGCAGGATTAGATTTGAGTGTTAGTGAGCTTCTGTGTGAAGAAGGGTGGATTGGAATGGGAAGAGTGCAGGCCCAGAGGCTGAGAAGGAGGTGGGGCAGAGTCCAGGTGAGAGACATTGGGGAGGGAAGAGGAAACAGGTAGGTGTGATACTCAGGAGCCAAGTGGACAGATAGTAGGGACCTTCATCCAGGATGAGGGGAAGGGCTCTGGCTTGGGTGAAGATGAGGTGGCCCCTGAAGATGGGGACATGGACAAGGAGCAAGTTAGGGGAGGTGATGCTGAAATCAGAGCAGGAAATTTAGCATCAAACATTTAACCATGTGTTGAGTGATTCACAAGCATTATTCAAGCCACACAACATAGTAAGTAAGAATGAACGAGAGACCTCACTTTCAGGAGCTCTGGTAGCGTAATGGTTAAGAACCACAAGGTCAGTGAACCACATGGTCAATAGTTTAAAACTACCAGCTGTTCCATGGGAGCAAGATGAGGCTTTCTGCTCCTGTAAAGATTTACAGCCTCGGAAACCCTGTTCAGGGTCGCTATGGGTCGGAACCAACTCCACAGCACATAGCTACCAATCTTAATAGCTCCATTTTATAGGAGAGAAAATTGAGGTACACATTTTTTAAATGGCTATGGTCACTCAAAGGAGTCCTGGTGGCGTGGCAGGCTTAAGCCTTGGACTGCTAACCACAAGGTCTGAGGTTCAAACCTGCCAAATACTCCAAGAGAAAAAGCTGAGGCTGTCCGCTTCCGTAAAGATTTACAGTCTCAGAAAGAGACCCTAAGGAGTACTTCTGTCCTGTCCTACAAAGTCATTATGAGTTGGAATCGACTCAGTAGCAGTGGGTTTGATTTTCTGGTTTATGGTCACCAATCAGCAGTTTGAATCTATCCAGTGTCTCCACATAAGAAAGGTCTGGCGATGGATCTACTTCTGTGAAGACTGTAGCCAAGAGAACCCTATGGGGTAGTTTTACTCTGAAACACACGGGGGCGCCATGAGTCAGAATTTACTCAATGGCAACAGGTTTGAGCACCCAGCAGGGTGCCAGAGACAGACTTTGACCCCAAGCAATCAGACTCCAGAGCCAAGCTCCAACCTACCACCCACACAACTTCCTAATTCCCCAGGAGACACCCTGGGGGAGGTGTCCTCCAGGAGGCCACAGGATCCCCAGGTGGACTAGGGAGTTTGGGAGTTGTCAGGGAGGTGTGGGGGTGAACAGGGCTCAGGAAGAGCACCCAAGGAGGGAGCACAGAGAGGGAGCAGTGGGGGGAGAGAGTTTTTCAGGAGGAAGGAAGGGCCCTTAGAAGTCAGCCCAGGAAGACGGAGGGAGTCCACAGTGGTCCTGGAGAGGGCCACTGCTGACAGATCTGAGCCCCTAGTAAGAGGATACCCCCAGATGCTGGGGCACTGGGGAGGGGTGTGCCCCATAAATGTAAACAACTCCTTCCATGTTTTGGAGGAAGAGTAAGTACGAGATGGGGCAGTTGAAGGGAAGTCTAGGGGTGAGAGTAGGGGATTCTGTAGGGACTCAGATGCCTGAGTCCTCATCTTCTGGGACTGGAGGGAGGGTAGGGACAGATGGAGGTTTGAAGAGAGTAGGAAGGACAGATATGGGGACTCGGGGGAGGGAGGAAGACTTGGGATCTGAGAACAGGCCTCCTTAGTCCAGTCTAGGGTGTCGCAGAGACCCCACCGTGAGGTGTGTTTGGAGGCCCTGGTAGGGGTTTAGGGGCTGAGATCCTGAGAGGGGTCCAGTGTTGACATGGGCTGAGGATCCTGGTGCCCAATCCTAAGAGGCAGCCAGGCATCAGAAGTGGAGAATCTGGAGAGGGGACAGAGGTGGCCTTCCTGGGTGGGGCGTAGGATGGGCAGTCAAACCAGCCAGACAGGAAGGGGAAGGTCAGGCTGTTGTGAAGGCGCCCTTGGCGGTTGAGAGACACCAGAAAGAGGGCATTGAATAAAGAGGCCTGGCCAAGTCCCCAACAGAAGGGTCCCACAGCTGTGCCCTACTCCCACGCCAGCCTATTCAACCCTGACTCTTCTCAGACCAGGAGTGACCTGGGTCTCCCCCATCACCTTCCCCCGTAACTCCCCTCTGCGCCCCCCAATACTCATGGAGGAGAGATCTGGATACGTGTCACATCTAGATGACTTTATTCACATGGAGTGGCCCCACCGCCCACCCTGGTCAGGGTTAGTGCTACTAGTTATCTCGAATACAAGACAGAGGGAGGAGGAGGAAGAGGATACCAGGCAAGTCTCCTCTGCCAGAGGATTCAAATGACTGCAGCTGGAGCTCCCTCCACCAGGGTGGGGCCTGGAGCCCCCGTCTCTGTAAACCCCACACTGGGCAGCCGGACTCGGAACCCACCCTCTTCCCGGTCCCGGCTCTGGGCCTTGGGGCTGAGGGAAACCCTGGGGAAGCGGAACTTGGGTGACTTCTCTGCGCCAGGGGACTTGACGGTTCCCTCACCCTCCTGCCCCCTGGAGGCCTTGGAAGGGGCAGCCAGCCCCACACGGGGCAGGCGGACTCGGACCCGGCCTCGACGCCCTGTTGTCCCTTCCCCACTGCCCTCTTCTTCCTCCTCATCAGGGCTTGGGGAGCTCCCTCCAGTGGTTGCCTCACCCTGGCTGAAGCCCACACGGGGCAGCCTGAGTTTTGGACTCTTGACCTTCTCGCCCTCCTCGCCTGCCTCCTTGGCTCGCACCAGGCCAAACCGAGGCAGCCGCACCTTGAGCTTGTGCCCGGTGTCCCCCTCGCCCTCTGCCACCTGGTATTCAGCATGGCTGCCAACGGCAGGTGTCGAGAGTTCCACATCGGGCAGCGTGAGGCGGAAGGTGTGCTCTGCCCCTGCCAGCTGCTCCTCAGTCCCCTCTGCACCCACCCCAGTCCCTGGCCCCAGAGTGGGCATCTTCAGCCTCAGCCCACCCTCACTTGTGCCTGCTTCACCTACCTGTGCCCCGCGGCTCAGCCCCATGTCCAGCTCAAGCTGGGGCACAGTTACAGAGGGCATCTTGAAGACACCCTCACCTACCAACAGCTCACCACTGGCCACCTGGGCTCCAGGCAGGGACAAGGTCACCTGAGGCACCTGGACCCTATAGCCAGCTGTGCCTTCTGCTGAAGAGGCTGCACCCTCGGCCTGCTGACCCACAGTGCCACCTGGTCCCATCTCCCCAAAACTGGTCAGCTCCACCTGGGGCAGAGAAATGCCCACTGGGGACATCTTTAGAACCCCTTCCTGGCCCTCAGTGCCCACGTGCTCAGTAGTGGAGACCTGCAGGCCTGACAGCCGCATCCCACTGACAGCCAGTGCCCCCTCTGCCTGCCCTTCTTCTTCAGCTCCCAATGTGACTAGCTCCACCTCGGGAAGCTTAAGCTGCCTGGTGGTGGACTCTGACTTTTCCTCAGGGCTGCTGCGCCCCTCCTGGACTTCTGCTTCCTTGCCCCGAGCCAGCCCAAAGGAGGGCATTTTCAGCTTGGGCATCTTCACCTTCCCATCCCAACCCCAGCCCTTACCCTCCAGCTCAGCTCCCCCTAGTTCTCCAGCCTCAATGTCCCGACCTCTGACCCCAAACTTGGGAAGCGCAAACCTAGACCCCTTGAGCTTGCCATCAGCCCCTGCCACCTCCACCTTTCCCATGGGCAAATGGGTGTCCAGGCTGAGCTGAGGGATAGATAAATCGAGGGCAGGCAGCATGCCCACCTCACCTACCCCTTTAATCTCGGCCTCAGTCCCTGCCCGAGCCTTGGGGAGTGAGATGGCAAACTTGGATACCTTCATCTTGGTGGCTCGCCCAGCCCCCTCAGCCTCCACCTTGGCCACCTTTGGCCCTGAGAGTCCAAACTTGGGTAGGGAGAACTTGGAGGAGGGTTTGACTTTCATCTCCACCATCTCTAGCCGCCCTTCCGCAGCCTCCACTGTGGGCAGCTGTGGAGCAACAATCTCAACAGAGGGCATCCGGAAGCTGGCTTCTCCCATCCCTGCTGTCACCCCAGGGCCCTTTGCCAGCTCCACCTTGTGAACTGCACCCACTGGGACCTGGCCCTCCAAATTGAGGGCACCTGGCAGGTCTAGCTCCACTGAGGGCAGTTTGAGGGAAGGTGCAGCCACATGAACCTTGCCACCCACCTCCTGCTGAAGACAGGGAAGTGTCACCAATTTCCCTGAGACCCCAGCACCTGCCTCGCCTGGCTTGCCTTGTTGGGGGGACCCTGGCCTCCCCAGCTTAGGCATGGTCATCTTGGGCATCTTGAAATCAAATTCAGCCTGCTCAGTCCCGGCAACTTTAAGTTGAACCTCTGGAGCCTTGGGCAGCTTCACCTCCGGGGCCTTTGGAAGGCACACATCTGGGGCCTTGGGCACCTGCATTTCTGGCAGCCGCATCTCAGACACCTTTGGCAGCTGTACCTCCGGGAGGTGCACATCGGGCACAGCCATCTCGGGCACTTTGGGGAGTTTTATCTCTGGGAACTTCACGTCGGGGACTTTCATCTCTGAGACCTTTGGGAGTTGCACCTCTGGGAGGTGCACGTCGGGCACGGTCATCTCAGGTACCTTTGGAAGTTTCATCTCTGGAACCTTCGGGAGTTGCATCTCCAGGAGGCGTACATCTGGCACAGTTATCTCGGGCATCTTTGCGAGTTTCATCTCAGGGAGCTTCATTTCTGGAACCTTCGGGAGCTGCACTTCTGGAAGGTGCACATCTGGCACGACCATCTCAGGTACCTTGGGGAGTTTCATTTCTGACACCTTTGGCAGCTGCATCTCCAGGCGACATACATCCGGTACAGCCACCTCGGGCATCTTTGGGAGTTTCATCTCGGGAAGTTTCATTTCTGGAACCTTTGGGAGCTGCACTTCCGGGAGGTGCACAGCCGGCACGACCACCTCAGGTACCTTCGGGAGTTTCATCTCAGGGACTTTTGGCAGCTGTACCTCTGGTAGCTGCACCTCTGACACGGCCATCTCCGGCACCTTTGGAAATTTCATCTCTGGGACTTTTATCTCTGACACTTTTGGGAGCTGCACATCAGGAAGAGCCGCCTCAGGCACTTTGGGGAGCTTGACGTCAGGGACCTTGGGGAGCTTTACTTCAGGCCCTGACACTCCAAGGCCAAAAGAGGGCATCTTGATGGTAGGCAACTTCAGCTTGCTCTCAACCACAGCTTCAGGGGCAGCAGGCCGGGGCTCCAAGAGAGAAAGACCAAAGGTGGGCATTCGGAGTCTGGGCCCCTTCGCCCTGGCCTCAGGGCTACCCTTGGCTACCTTGCCTTCAGCAACTTCTTTTGCCCGAGCCCCAAAGCGGGGGAAACTGAGGCGGGGCATCTTCAGGGCCACCTCTGGTGCCTCTCCCCGGGCCTCCACTTCTGTGCCAGGCAAAGCCAGGTCCACACCCACAGTAGGCATTGCCACGTCCAGGGTGGGCACCGTCACTGCTACAGCACTTTCCTGGGTCTCCAGACAGGGAAGGGTGGGCAAAGTAGGGAGCGAAGGCAAGGTGGGCAGCTCCACTTGGGGAACCTGGATCCCCACGACCGTGGGTTCCTTAGTCGGTGGAGCTGGGGCTATCAGCCCAAGAGTTGGCAGGTGGAGGGGAAAGCCACTGGCTGCCTCCACTGAGGGGGCCACCTCCCCTGGCCCCTTGGGGACTGAAACCTGGGGGACGCCCACTTCAGCACCTGGCAGCCGGGGCCCAACCAGCTCCACCTGGGGTGCTGCGAAGCGGGCTCCTGTTACCACCTCAGCCTCCTCCTTGGTTTTTCTGTGGGGAGGAGCAGCAGCAGCCATCCTAGCTGCCTGAGTCTCCCCAGCCACTTCTCGGACCCGAAACCGGGGCAATTGGAGGCGCCGGCGGGCAGGGAGAGCTGAGACAGGGCCCTTGACGGCCTCAACTTTAAGGCCCCGACGCAGCCGAGAGAACTTAGGGAAGGAGAATTCCACGTCAACGGGGACCAGATCTGCAGGGGCCCCCAGGGCCCCAGGCACCAACATCTTCTTCTTCTTCACTGAGGACAGACTCTGGATGTTCTGGGGAGAGAGGAGAGAGGCGGAGGCAGTGGGACACTGGGAAGCCAGGGGTGGACAAGAGGAGTCCCACCTGGCACTGTGCCAAAATGGAGATGTGTTGTGTAAGATGTGTTTTTGTCTCCCAAAGCCCCATCCCCACTTTCTGCCTTTTATTTCACCATCACTGCCCAGGAAAGCTAAGGCATTCAATTAGAATCTCACCGTGGGTTAACAGGAACTGGGACCCAAGACTTCTACGTCCCTACCCAGAATTTTCTCCAACACCCTCATTCTAGAGATGGAGACAGTGAGGAATGGGGAGAGAAAGAAGTGTGCCAAGGGTCAATCTGCAGCCCTGGTTTGTCATCCCCCTCCTCAAACTAGGACTGGTGGGATGCCTTTTCAAGGGGCAAGGGGTGAGAGTTATGGTCTGAAGTCCGTGGGTTCTCCTCCTCAGGGAAGAATTTAGGGGAGGAGGACGAGGACAGAACCGGTGAGATTAGCGGTGAGGTTAGTAACGAGAGACTGGCCCACAATGGTGGGGAACGGGCTCACGGCGCGGAGGTGGCGTCACCCAGACAATCCTGGACCAGGCCCGGTCTCAGCACGCGTACCAGCTTGGCCACCTTGGCCCGCGGGCCCTTGATCTCGTAGCCAGCCACGGTCCCGGGCCGCAGCGCCAGGTCCCCGGTGGGCACAGTGCGCTTCAGGCAGAAGGAGACCTTGTAGGGCTCGGCGCATTGCAGCAGGCGTAGTGCATCCTCGTACTTGAAGTTGTCAAAAAACACACGGGCGCTGAGCAGCTGGTCCCCTGCGGGCAGGGTGGAGGTCGGAAAGTAGGGGTGGGCATCTACTGGCTCCACCCAGGCCTGGTTCTTTGAGGCCAGTGCTCTGAGACCACGCCCCATTTGTTTGCCCCGCCCACTCAGCGCTGGGTGGAGCCTCAAATCTCTGCTGTTTGGAGTCCGTCTATCATCCACCTCTTTAGCTCCGCCTCTTCCCGCACCACCGTGCAAGCCCACGCTTACGTCACCTTTTCCCCACCCTCATCTCTCTACTGATTTTGCTTCCATTACTGCTAGAGCAGAATCGAAAGAGAACTCCTAGAAGCTGCCACCCCCTCTATCCAATCTCCTACTCCTGTGGCGATTTACTCTACTCTTCCTCTTTTAGGGATATCCTCCAGCCGGATCTCTTCTCTCTCCCCTTCATGCTCAATTTGGCTTCTCTCCTACATTATTCCCATCAGCATACAAACATGCAATCAGTGCTCCCATTTTAAAAAGTTGTCTTGACCTAACTCTCCCTCTAGTTCTTGCCCCAGTTTTCCGATCACTTTCACATCAAAATGCATTGAGTTGTCTAGAAGTATTAGAACCACTTCTCCCCCTCTCCTATTTCTCTTGAACTTGATCCAATTACACTTTTGTTTTTCCCTCCTCCCCCACAAAACACACCTGAACTGTTCCTCTCAAAGTTTCAGGCAGTGAGCGTCACATAGCTAAATCCAATGTTCAAGTCCCAGACTTTATCTGTTTGAACCACTGAGCGTTTTACCCAACTTCATTCATTTGCTTCACTTGGCTTCCAGGATACTATTCCTCAGGTTTTCCTGCTGCCTTCCTGGCAATTCCTCCTTGGTCTCCTTTGATGGTTCCTCCACATCTCCCTGACCATGCCCCTGTAGTTCTGGTCTCTTCTTCATCTACATGCCACCTTCTCACTCCTTCGAGAGTGACATCAGATTCAGGGGTTTAAAAACCATGAGCATGCTGACCACTCCCAAGTATATCTCTACAACTCAGCACTCTACCCTAGATTCCTAGATCCAACTGTCTGTCCCTCCACATCTCTGCCTGAGCATCTAAGAGACACCTCCAAACTTCTAATCAACCGCCAGCCCATGTTCCTCATTTGGGAGACTATCAACTCCATTCTCAGGGCAAAAATCCTGGACACATTCTCAACCTCTCTCTTTCCATAACACAACATATCCAGTTCTGAAGGCTTTTCCTTCAAATATATTTAGATTCCAAACCTTTCGCTTCATCTCCACCAACACTAGCTTGGACATGAATATGATCTCTTTCCTGGATAATCACAGTAGTTCCCTTGTTGGTCTCCTTACTCACAACCCTGCCTCCCAACCATTAATGTACCAGCTCAACGCAGTCAATTCATGTCCCTGTCCCTCCACTCTGCTTACAACAGAGGCCCAGAATAAATGTCAATGCCCTATGTTGTTATTGTTGTTGTTAGGTGCCATCGAGTCGGTACCAACTCATAGTGACCCTATGCACGACAGAACGAAACACTGCCTTATCCTGGGCCAACTTCATAATTGTAGCCACTCTTGAGCCCATTGATGCTGCCACTTTGCCAATCCATCTCACTGGGGGATTTCCTCTTTTTCTCTGACCCTCCCTCCACCTATAAAGTTCTCTAAAAGCTGCCCTTCCCCACCTTACCTTTTCTGATCTTATTCCTTACTCTTCTATTTACTAAATTTATTTCATCCACACTGGCTTCCTTGCTATTCCTCCAACAAGCCAGGCACACTCCCACCTTGAGTAAGACCTTGCACTGGTTGTTCCATATGTCTGGAATGCTCTTCCAGATGGCCACATAGCTTGTTTTCTCACCTCCTCTGGGCCTTTCCATCTTCCCCTGCCCACTCTATTTTAGTGTCATTGCCCTCTGGTATCTGTAGAACACATCACCTTCCACTTGATTCTGTACTAATCTTGTTTAAATCTGTTGTCTTTTTTGTTCATGACTGCAGCCTAAGCACCTAGAACAATGTCTGGAAATAGAAGGTACTTAATAATTGTTGCATGAACAAATCACATCTGTCTCATTTATTTTCCTAAAATATCTCTCACTAAGCTCCCCTCTCATCTTTTTCCAAGCTGCTAATTCCACCCCTATTGTCCTGTCCCAACTACAAAAACAGTCACTAGCATTTATCTAGTGCCTTACTATAAACCACTTAGCTATGTGTTTTCAAATACTGACTCATTTAATCACCTAATAACCCTATGAGGTAAGCACTAGAATTATTCCAATTTTAGAGATAAGAAAATAGACCCAGGAAGAGCACGAGTTAGTAAATTGAGGATCTGGGATTCGAACCCATACAATGGAGTCTGAACAACCACAACGCAATCCATAGATGCAAAACTCCGCCTTAAGCCCTTAACCCCACCTCCTGGCCGCCAACAACGCCCACATGCCCCGAAGTAAGTCTCAGCCTCGCGACAGTCCCAGGTTTCCTTGATTCCTAACCCCGCCCCCAGAGGACAGCCCAAGGGGCGGGCTCGGTTCAAACCACGGACCCTGCTTACCTTCCTGGAGGCTGAGGCTCCTGGCTGCTGGCGAGTCTTCGCGCAGCTCGCGGACGAAGATTCCCTCCTTGCCACCACCCGCTACGTTGATGCCGCTGACTCCGGTCTGTGCCTCCGTCTCCACGATGATCTCCACCAATTCCGCCCGCCGCAGTTCCTGTGGAGGGTGGCGAGGGGTTGCAAGGGCACTCTAGGGCTGGAGGATCTCGTCCAGAGCCCACCATCGCGCTTCAAAGTGATTCCTAAAGGACTTCTGGTGTGGCGCTGTAGGATCACCATTGGACTATGAACCACAAGGTCGGCAGTTCAAACCCCCTCGGAAACCCTATACAGGGTCGCTATGAGTCGGACACACTTGACAAAACACTCAACAACAACAAAGGAATCCTCAGGGTACAAGCCGCGGCCCAGGCAAGACGTCCGGGTTCATGTTCTTTAAGAAAGCGCGCGGACGAACAACTAGCTCTCCTCGCCTGCGAAACCGTTAAACTGCTTTGAGGGTACGCGTAGTTTCCAAAGCCCAACAGGACCGGGGTCGGAAGGGGCGGGGAGAGGGGCGGGGTTGTATGGTGTAGGGCGTGGTCAAGGTGGGGCTAAAGAGAGTCACGCTGTGGCACTATAGGATGAGCGCTAGACTAGTAACCGCAAGGTTGGCGGTTTGAACCCACCAGACACTTTTCGGAAACCCTATCTAGGGTCGTTTTGAGTTGGAACCGTCTCCACGGCAAACAACAGAGGAAAGCTAAGGGACCCTGGCAGCACAACGGTTAAGAACTTGACTAATGAGTAGAAGGTTGGTGATTCTAACCCACCAGTTCTCTGCAAAAACCTCAGGGTCATCAGTTCGAAACCATCAGCTGTTCCACGGGAGAAAGATGAGGCTTTCTGCTCCCGTAAAAATTTACAGCCTCGGAAACCCTGTACAGGGTCGCTATGAGTCGGAACCAACTCCACGGCACATCAACAACAACTTTGTCCTATAGAGTCCTATGAGTCCGCATGACTAGAGAGCACACACCAACGAAAGTGGTAAGAAACAGGTGGGGCCAGATGGGGTAGGACTGTGCTTTCTCAAGGGGCAGGACCCGTTCAGGCTAGAAAACCAGGCCAGAAAGAATGGGCCCAATTCATCCTTGTTGCGATGAAGTGAATTGAGTCTAATAGCAACCTCGATTGCAGGAAAGCAAATTACCAGGCCTGTCTTCCCCAGTGCCTCTAGGTAGCTTGCAACCTTTCAGCACTTAACCATTTGCACCAACCAGAGACTCCAAATGGAGTAGAAACCAAACCAAACTCACTGCCATGGACTCAGTTCCAACTCATAGCGACCTTATATAGGGTTTCTGAGACTGTAAATCTTTACAGAAGCAGACATCTCATTTTTCTCCTGCAGAGTAGCTGCTGAGGCTAAGTGCCATTGAGTCAGTTCTGACTCATAGTGACCCTGTGTAGGAGTTCCAAGGAGTGGCTAGTGAGCTTGAACCACCGACCTTACAGTTCAAACAACCTTGCAGGTAAGCGCATTAACTAGTGGGTTTGAATTATCAAACTTGAAGTTTAGCAGCCCAATGCCTAACCCACAGTACCACCAGGGCTCCTTAAATGACATCTTTGTTGTTGTTAAGTGCCATGGAGTCGGTTCCAACTCATACCAACCCTGTATAGGGTTTCCAAGAAGCGACTAGTGAGTTTGAACTGCCGACCTTGCTGTTCAAACCGACCTTAAAGTCTAGAGAAATTCCATTTTCCACCAACTTTTTGAACCCTGGCTGGACTGAGAGGTGGGGAAGGGCTTCAATAACAGAAGATAGAATTCTCAGGAAAGGGTTTCTGGGTGTGGGGGGGAGATTGGCCTTCTCAAGGCTTAAATGTGTGTGAGACTGTACCCCATTGTGGATTCTATGACCCCAGGACTTGCCTACCGCCCACAGGAGAGGGAATCCAGTGAAGGGGAGGGAGGTGCGTGGGTAATGAATGGTGGACCAGCACACATGGTGTTCCTGGAATTTACTGTAATAGGGTTGACTTGGCCCTAGCCCAGCAGTACACTGGGGTTCACACCAGAGTTTCCCAGAAGAGGCAGGGAGAAAACCTGGCTTCCACACCCATTTGGGAACCCCATTTGCTGTGTGTCTCTGGGGAAGAACCGTGCCCTCTCTGAGCTTGTCTCCCTGCTGTAAGATGAAGTTAACGATGAAGTTGACACCAGGAGCAGTGGGGATCTGAGGAGATGCTGTAATGGACTAGGCATGGAGGCAGGGCCAGGAGTTGAGATCAGGTCCAGAAAGTGGAAAATAGATGCTCCCCAGCTCTGGGGGAACTCCATGATTGTGCGTGGGCAGCAGAGGGTTGAAACGGAAAGAACGATGGCAGAGGCAGCAGAGAACGTTGTGACCGACACCACCACCCTTTGCTTAGCAGACCTGAGGCTTAAAGCATTTTAGGTATAGCATCTCATTCCATCTCCCCCACAGCCTTGTAGAGGATACGAAGGCCCAGAGAAGTGGTGTGACTTGCCTAAAACCACACAGCAGGTGAAGTAGTTGGGACTCAACCTCTGATCTGTGATCCCAGAACCTCCCCCCCCCATAGGCCACCCTGTAGCTTTACCCCCCTGGCTACCTCCCCCAGCCCTAGCTGGGCTCCTAGTAAAAAGTAGACCCACTCTGTGCCTGGTCTACATCCCACCCAAACCTTGTCTCAATAATTATGTAAGCAGTTAGCATTCAAAGAGGCATCCTAGGTGGGGACAATTGCCTCATTTCACTCATGGGGAAACTGAAGCTCAGGTGAGGTGACCTGCTAGGGCTGCACAGCTCAAGTAACCGGGCTAGGATTTGAACCCTGGTGTCCACAGCCTTGGTCCTTTACCCCTACACCATACTGCCTCTTCTCATTTAACTTCTTTATGTGCCAATGAATTGCTTCTTTCATCCTAGTGGATGCCAGGCACTATGCCAAGCATTTTACATGTTTTGGTTTGTTATTTCCCCTCACAGTGACCCATAAAATACACCCTGCTGTGATTCCATTTCACAGATGAGGGGACTGAGGCACAGAAAGGCCAAGAAGTGCCTCCTTGCTGCCTGCCCTAGTCTGCATCTTGACACTCCAGGCCCCCGAAGCCCCCCGTCACAGAGGTGGGGAAACTCACCTCGGCACTCCGACTCCTGACCTCCATGGCACCGCTGAGAGTCAACCTGGCCGCCTGCTTCCTCTCCCACTTCTGCTGTGGGACCCCTTCAGTTCAGCATGGAGCAGCTGTCTCTGAGTCTGCAGGGCATGAGGACAAGGGCTTGAGGCCATGAGAGGATGGGGGTAAAGACTGGGTTTCAAGGGTGAGGTCAGAGTAGGTATGGGAAGCAGAAGTGGAGAAAGGCCCCCAGTCCAGCTGTGCTCTCACCTCTGCCTGGGTGCAGGCACCCCCTCCTAGCCCGGGGTGCTGCACACCCTTCTTCTGGGGTCTTGCTGTCTACTAGGGAGAGACCAGGGTGTGAGGCTCCATGCAGGTCAGGGGCAGGCAGGGAGTGGGGTGTGGCGTAGGGGTCAGTGCTCACCTTAGGGCCACCTCTGGCTTCTTGGGCCTTCTGGGTCCAGGGCTCTAAGAAGGATAACATGAACAGTGTGATCGACATGTTCCCATGGATTGCTTCTAGAGTGTCAAGTTCTTTCATGACACTCTGACCCTGCCACGCTCTGTGAGCACTCACCTCCATATGCAGGTGGGGAAAGTGAGACTCAGAAGACCTTTGTCTAGGTGGTCTGTCTGGCAGCAGAGCCCCCATGCCTGACCACCTTGGCTGTCCAAGAGGGGCCAGTTCTACTATAAAGAAATGATAACTATCCCATGGACTCTCAGAGGAGCCTTAGGGCTGCAGTAGATTAATTATTGCACTGCTAACCTCAAGGTCTTGTAGCATTGTTGTTGTTAAGTGCCATCGATTCTATTCTGACGCATAACGACCCTGTATAGGGTTTCCAAGGAGCAGCTGGTGAGCTTGAACCACTTACCTTGCAGTTCAAACGACTTTGCAGTCTGACGCATGAGCCCACAGCGCCACACCGAGACTCCTCTAGCATAGTGGTTACGAATCAGGCTGCTATCCTCAAAGTCAGCAGTTCGAAACTACCAGCTGTTCCGCGGGAGAAAGATGAAGTTTTCTGCTCCTGTAAAGGTGTGGCATTGTGGGCTAATGCCTCAGACTGCAAAGACATTTGAACTGCGAGATTGGTGGTTCAAACTCACCAGCTGCTCCTTGGAAACCCTATACACTATGGGTTGGAATCGACTCAACGGCACTTTACAACAACAACAACCTCAAGGTTGGTCATTCAAACCAACCAGCTGCTCTATGGGAGAAAGACGAGTCTGTGTGCTCTGGTAAAGATTTCCAGTCTTGAAAACCCTAGATGGGGCAATTCTATTCTGTTCTACAGGGTCCTTATGAGACAGAATGGAGTCAATGGCTATGGTTTGGTTTTGGGTGTACTGTCAGTGGGCAAAGGACTTCACCTCCCTGTGTTTCTGTTCCCTAATCAATAAAATGGATGAGGGCCCCCGATCTGGCAGAGTTCTGATGTGGCACTGGACTGCTAACCGCAAGGTCGGTAGTTCAAACTCATCAGTTGATTCTCAGAAAGCCTATATAGTGTCGCTACTTGATGGCACTTAACACCTGGTAGGGATGTCATGAGGATAAACTGAGTTCATAAATGCAAGGTGCCTGGCACATGGGAAGTGCTGTGTAAATACTTGCGATTATTGGGAGTATGGTCGCTTCGTACCATAAGCACTGGAATGCAAGCCACAGGGTCCAAGGTTCATGCCTGCCAGCTGTTCCATAAGACAAAGATGAAGCTTTCTCCTCCAATGAAGAGTTACATGGAAGGGTCACTATCAGTTGGAACCAACTCGACGGCACATAGCTACAACAGCTTATTACTAAAAAGGTCCTATGGTCCTGACCTTGAGCTAAATGCCCCACATTCATGTCATCTCATGTAGGTCTTGTGACGTCAGCACAATTATTCAGCACATTACAGAGCAGACAACCGAGACTTGGAGAGGGGCTGTCGCTTGTTCAAGTCACAGAGGGCTGAGTCGAGACAAGATTGAAAGCTCCAGCCCTACATATGGGTAGTAATCATAACCAATGGGTAAGGACTTCTGGTGTGTGGCACTGTAGGATCAGCACTGAACAGCGAGCCACAAGTTTGGCAGTTCAAACCCACCAGCTGCTCCTCAGAAACCCTAAACAGTATCACTATGAATTGGAACTGACTTGATGACACTTAACAGAAATGGGTCAGGTGCATCTTCCTCGTCTTAGCCTCACCACAGAAGACCCCATCCCCATTTTAGAGGAGGAGACAGGCCTAGAGAGGCTTTGCAACTTGGCTCAAGGACCCCCATGAGAAAGGATTCACACACAGGCTTCATCCATGTCCTAGAGAAATGGCCTCCCCTCCGCCCCACTCCCTGACTCAGGGCTTGCCCTTCGGCCCCCACCTGGCATGCCAGGCTGCCAACCCCCACTCCACAAGGAAAGGTCAGGCCTCACGAGGTACATTCCCTCAGACAATGGCCCATCTGCTATGCCCAGTCGAATTCCACCCCTGCCCACCCACCCCCAGCCGTACAATGGCCTTCATAGTCCACTGTCACCAACCAAGACAGAGAACACAGGGACCCCCACAACTCCTGCCGCACCCACTCCACCCCCCCCCGACCCATTGTGTCCGAAAGGATCTCCTCTGACTTTTCCTAGAGGGTCCTCATCTCTATGCCTCCTCGGTGAGCCCCCAGCCCCGCCCCAGCCTCTCCCAGCAGGAAACAGAATTCTCCTGGGCAGCTTCCATGTTTGGGGTGTTTCTTCTCAAGTGGGTCCTGAGCTAGGACCACCCTGGACACAGTAGTGATCACAGGGGAAACTGAGACTCAGAGATGTGAAGTGACAAGCCCAGGGTCACACAGGAGGGGACAGAACTAGGGCTTCATTCCCCACTCTGTACTGTCATAATTTGCATTCAAGGCTCTGAGCCCTGAGGAAAACCCAGTAAGGTTTCTGGGGCTAGCTCTGGGTTTGGCAGGAAGGGCTGGGAGTGCCCCAAACAGGCATTTTTAGAGGGGATTCCTCAGTGTCAGCCCTGGTCCAGGCAGGTACTTTAGGAACAGATGAGTAAATGTAAGTTTAGAGTCACAGTGATAGAGGACCATGGCACACAACAGCATCCTGAGCTAGGGGTGGGAGACGCCTAGTGCTTATAGGTGGAGGTGGGTGTGGCTGTAGAGGGGGTCCTGGGGCCAAGACAGCAAGGATCACACACCCAGAGCCAGGCACAGGAAGCTCATCCAGGGTGGGGGCAAGGCACAGTGCCCTCCATCCTCAGCTCCGCCTGGGACAGCAACCCAGCCCCAGGTTATATTTAGCTCACTGGTGCCCTTCCTGAGCCACATACCCAGATCCTGGGGTGGGGTCGGGGCAGTTTCGGAAGGAAATCCACCCCACCCCAAGCACTCTGTGTTCCCAGCTCTGCCCATCCCTCTGAACAGGAGAAGGAGTAGGGGCACTGCTTGGAGGAGGGTCTAATGGACCCCACTCCCACCCCCAGGTGAATCAAGGCCAAAAAAGCTCTTCTGATGCCCCAATTCTAGAGCGCTCCCATATATACAGTGCTACTGATCTGGTACATGCCCCAACTCCCAGAAATCCTCAGTTTCTTGAGCTTTAATTACGTCCTTTTGCCTTGGCATCCTGTTCCCCACAGTGCCTACTGCCTACCTTTTGTGGGAATTTCCTCACTCAGAGCCAGTGATCGAATGCTCTTGGCAATCAATGGGAGTGGGGGGTCCAGGTCCCTGGACACTGTCTGAAGCTATTTACTGAGTGGGGTGGGAATGAAGGTGGTGGCCTTTGATTCCTCTCAGTTATAACCCCTGCTCCAGTGCTGTCCTGGGATGAGTCCTTGGGCAAAGTATTCCACCTCTTAGGGCCTCAGTTTTCTCATCTGTAAAATGGAGTTCAAAAGACTGGCTGTGAGGATGTTTGAATTCACAGCAGACATAAGGTACTTGGAATATTCTCAACTGGGCTGCTAACCACAAAGTCAGCAGTTCAAACCCACCAGCCACTCTGAGGAAGAAAAAGGAGACTGCTCCCGTAAAGATTGACAGTAGGAAACACTAACTAAGGTTACTATAAGTTGGCATTGACTGTATGGTTGTGGGCTTGCTTCTTTTAGTCTCCAACAGAAATAAGATATATATAGGGGAGTAAACTACCAGCCGTTCCATGGAAGCCTCATTAGGCTCTCTGCTCCCGTAAAGATTCACAGCCTCGGAAACCCTGTGCAGGGTCACTATGAGTCGGAACCGACTCCACGACCCACCACTACCACCTGTCTGCCTCTTACCCAGCATTTGTTCCACAATGGCGTCTACTTTCCCCCTATCAAAGGAGACCTGGGCAACAGACTCCCCAGCTCCCGAAACTAAGGTCTAGAAAACCTGCCCCCCCGACATACAGGCATCCTGCTCCCATTCTTTATTAAGGACAACTCACTGAGCCCATTTTACCCACTGCCATTGAGTCTGTTCAGACTCAACCCTACATGATGGAGTGGAACTGTTCCTTAGCATTTCCAAAGCTATACATGTTTACAGGAGCAGACAGCCTCATCTTTCTCCTAAGGAGCAGCTGCTGGGTTTGAACTGAGGACTTTTCAGTTAGCAGCCCAACCCATGGTGCCACTAGGGCACATTCAGCCCATTTTAGAGATAGAAAAACAGAAGCACTAAGGGTTGAATACCTCGCTCAAGGCGACAGCAAGAGGGGAGATTTGGAGTCTGGCTCCAGAGTATGTGCCTCTTGAGGCCCTGGCACCCTCCCAGTACCTCCCAGGACCTTGGGTCTTGTTTCCTCCAGGCTTCTCAGCCTCATCTCAGTCTGTCTTACCGGTGGGCTTCCAGACACCTCAAGAGCTCTGGTCCTTCTGCTCCGTCCCAGCCCCAGGCTGAGAGGGAAAAGGAATGGGAAGGGGGAGGAGGGGAGACCCCAGCCATTGGCTGCCAGGGCGTGAAGTCACAGGGGGGTGGGTGGTAGGGAAACAAACATGGCCCTCTGCCAACTACATCCATCCTCAAGGGGGCGAGGAGCCAAGAGACAGCCTCCTTCACTAGGG